CCATACAGAGCTTTTGGACAGACCTGACGCAGCTAATGCAGAAGTGTTTGATGGCGAAATTCTGCCCTCTGGAGACGGTAATCATTCGCACCTCTCACTTGTTTCGCATTTTCATCTTGCAGGTTGGTAGGTATGATTGATATTTGTATTTGGAGGATGAGTGGGATGGCTCTGTCTGCCAGCAGACCATGCAAAAGGTGCTGACTTTTTGTCTTGGGGGAGCAGGAAGAAGCCAGTAAGCCTTTTGTTAGCCAAGTAATTGTTTACCTTACCTGCTTTCAACACATGATCGGTGACCAGAGTTAGCCATTTTCTGTTTCAATCAATCGAGTCTTGTCATAAGACAAATTATGATGTCACAAGGCATGCAATGGGCCCATTATGTACCATTTCTTGATTACTTGCCCCAAATTTCTTGAAGTGGTCCCTCATGGTTGCTTTACCCATATATTTTCTATAGTTGTCATGGTTTGCTGGCTGGTTTGTTGTACTGTGTGTATATATGTATATATATATATATATATATATATATATATATACTACATTTTTAACACAGGGATACTCTTAGCTGCATAGCAATCATAAGGTGAGTTAAAAATTAGTATGTAACAAATAGTCAGACCATCCCATTTAAAATGTGAAGCCAACATTTCAAACTTTGTCATTAAATATTCATAAACAAGCCTAAATAGATGCCTTTACTGCAGCTGAAAAAGCAGGCTGCAGTACTGGCATGGTGATCTAAAGGTTATGTTACTTTGGGAGAAGAAAGATTGTTTTGTGGAGCATACCCATTATTGTCCTTGACATAGGTTAACCATGGCAATCAAAATAAGTTGTTTAGAGCGATTTCAAGTATTTTGATTTGTGTGTTGTGAACTTTGTCTGATGTCAACAAGCACACACAAATTAACTGAATGAAAATACAAGTTGAAACCAGCCAAAAATTAGCTATATCGTGTTTCTATCACAAGTGCTGCTGTCAACAGATGGCGAGTTGAGATGATGTACAACATATGGGTTACTCTAAGTTAGGTTAAGTTGGTTAAGTGCATGGCAAGTGGCAAAGGGAATTGTGCAAAAGCAGTAACTCACAACTGCTGCTGTGACACAAACAGGTTAGATAGGATGAGATGACAATGCCTCTTTACGTTCGGCATAGTTAGGCTACTTTAATAGAATAAGCATTGGTTCTTTATAAGAAACAGTGGAAAAATGTTTGTTTTCCCTGACCCCATCTTAACAAACCCCAGAGCTATGTCTAATGTGCTTGACTTGGTGATGGGCTGATGTTTAGGAGTCCAAGGTTTTTTTATTTGGGTGTTTTATGGTTGTTGAATTTTCTTTTACTTTGTTACTGAATTCTTTTGCTTTGTGTGGTGTTAAATTGCTCTGGAAAGGAAGTGCAAAGTAGAGCATATTGGTGTTAATATTTGTTTATGCTCATTACACTGTCATGAAATTACTATGTTTTAGCGTATTCTCTTTCAGCTTAACCGTTTAAGATGTTAAAAAACAAAAAGTTGCGTCAAGTTTATGATATTACGTTCATGCCAACTTGAAATACATGTCTTTGTTTGCTAAAGCATCAGTCACGAGCTCATAAGTTCCATCTTTTGTGAATTCATTTTTTCACTCCTGAACGGTATTTTTGCGATGGAATTTTTCACTCCCACCGTAGTTCAAAAACAATTCTAGCTCACTGGTGTTGGGACGATTCAGCAGGAATGGGACGAAAATGGTACGTTTCAACGTCCGTTTAAATAGGACTTTTAACAGGGGCCTCCGGCGCCGAAGGTCGGACCGCCTATTCAATGCACGTGGTAGGCCGCCGACGGAGTGATTCCAAGCGCCGGCAAGCAGCGGCTCGCGCAGAGCGCAGTCGAACCGCTCGGTGACGCAACCACGTGTATAGAGAGATGGAAGCACGGTTCGAGGCGATCTATGTCAGATAGACCTTCGTATTAATAACGTAGGGGTCGTAATGGCCCAGCGTGTAGTGCATTTCCCACGTAGGAATGTCCGGGTTCGAATCCCGGTTGTGCTATGGTGACCACTGAGCGCTAATATGGCGAATGCAGTCGCTGGCGCTCCATACGAGGCATGACGACTTGCGTTTCGCTTTCTTTAAAAAAGATGAAATAAAGGGTTCTCGTAAGACGCGACTATCGGAGCACGCGTCCCGGGAAAAACCCAATTTTAAGGAATATTTGCACATTTTTAAATTTTATAAACCGACCTCGAAGGTCTCTTGAACCTATTTCAGGTTGCTCTCTGGTGGGCAGGCTTCCATATTGATCAGGTTACATGATTTACAAAACATCCTCATCGGGCCAAACTTTGCTACCGCAGCTTTTGACCTTCTATCGAACTTACAGCATTATATCAAGGTCTCAGAAGTCCAGTTCAAAGATATCTTCAAAAATGTTTTCATTTTTCGAGGTGAAGGGGAGCTAACGCGCCCTCCGGTGGGGTCAATTTGAACCCGCAGATATTTTTCCTAGACAACATGCAAACGGCGTGGTGTCGCGTCAGGCTTTAAAAAGCCGTAGTAAATGAAATAGCCTATATGTTGGCACTACAATTCTATATTGATCTTGTAAGTTCTCTGAACCATGGCAGGTCAAAGTCAGGCCATGGCTGGCAGCAAAGCAATTCCTAGGGCTTCGCTCAACCTGATGCAACAAGGAGTGTTAGGCGAAGCCATGCATCTTTGAGATGGCTTCGTTGACAGCTAGACAATTACATTTAAAATTAGGATTTCTTCTCACCTTCGGGTGAGACATCAAGGTCAAGCCGAAGTCAAAACCAGAAGTGTTTTTGCTGGAGATCTTGCGTTGCGGGGTAGCTTTAGAGGTACATTTCGAAGTTCTTGAGCACAGGGAGGTGAACAAATGTGTCAGTGGAACGTCATTAAAATCAGAAAATAATACTAACCCGGAATGACTCGGACTAATCTCTTGCTTTAGCAGCAGACAACTTGCGTAATTTTTTACGCCAACGGAAAATCGAACATCAGTACAGATTTGTTAGTTTTTGGTCGCCGTGACATTCTGAAGTTCAGCTAAGGTAACTGAACTTAAATGAGCACCAGTGGCCTACTGTTTAGTAGAGTTATCTTAGTTAAATATGGTTGCATAAGGAGATTTGAAGGAACGACACCGATCTTAAGTTTGACCTTGTCTGACCTTATTTTATCCGGAGGTCATGACCCAGGGATCTCAAGCTTTGACACAAGTGAATGAATATACTGGCCTATCTATCTTGGGAATTTGGTGTAGATCTTCGGGTGTGAATTGACCCATACCCCGCCTCAGCGGTGTCGTATTCAACCGGCCACAACCGGCCACAACCGGCCACAACCGGCCACCGGCGCGCGCATTAAGAAGGAAACGTCGGAAGCGGGAAGTCGGTAGCAGAAATGTCAGCCTTTTCTGAATGGCAATGTCTGGCACTGACATTTGCGCTGTATCTTGCACCTTGTACCCTGCAACAGCTCTGAGGCTGTGGATTCGTGACCGACCGCTGATTCTCCGCTCAATGCGCCGAACTGTTCTCATGATAACCCAAGACGCCCAGAACGTCCAGCAAAACAACACTCTGGACGACCTGGCCTTCGGGCGAGAAAGATGGACGTACGAGTTGTGTGAGACATGGATAAACAGAGCCGTGGCGGCCTGAGTGAAAAAGTTGCGGAAGAGGTCGTGACCCGACGCGGAGTCACAACACGAAATGGACGTTGCGTTCTCCGCTATTTTTGACAGCTGTAGTAAGCTCTTAAAGTTTAATCTATAAATGCAAAAGAAGGTTCTATCTCATGCCGTAGTCATTTGGACAGTTGTAACTAAATGCTTTGCCGTGGTCATTTGCAGACATCACCTTGATGTACGGGCTTTGACTGTGCTATGAAACATCTTAACTGAGTGGAATTAGAACATCGTTTTCCTTTCCATGTAGCTCGCAGGTCAGGTTCGACCTGCGGCTCGCTCCGACGGCCGTTTTCTTCAGTGCTTGTCTCGACAGCACTAGGCGGAAAGGATGGCCGTGTACGGCTATATGAAGGCGGTTAGTGTCAATCCTGATCAACTTCGTCCAATTGCAGGTGCAATTCCAGTTCCTGATGAATCGGATTCGTTGTTGTGAGAACACGGCCTACGGTCGAGACAATGGCTTTAAATCCATGCATACCCCTGCCGACTTCCTTCGCAACCACCCGATCACAGAATATTCAACAATGGAAAGCTATGTCAACCGAATGACAGAAGGAGAAAAATCAGCACTTCTCGGGGACGAAGATGGTATCTTCATGTTCATGACATCATCAGGAACAACGGGCAAGAACAAGAAGATCCCGCTGTCGGATCAGGGAGCAAAGGACATACAGTCTCAACTGTTTCATGGTCCTTACCGGTGGGCTGTAGAACGAGACCTCGCTCCGTGGAATCTGAAGAGAATGATGAGTGTCAACAATGGCCGCACTGTTCAGCACACCAAGTCAGGTCACGTGTTGGGTGTGGCAGCCAGTGTATTCTATTCGAAGGCGATGGCTTTGTTCGCACCTCTCTACACAAGCCCTGTCATCAGTATGCAGGTGAAGAGTGAATTTGAATCGCAATACATCCACATGCTCTTTGGGCTTCGGGACAAGCACATTTCTGTGATAATTACCGTCTTTGTTCATAATTTCCTTAGCATGATGCGCCGAATGGAGGTCTTTCAGAATGATCTCGTAAACGACATTCGTCGTGGTCGTATCAAAGACGACCTGAACATCTCTGAACACGTTCGTGCCGAACTGAATGCACAGCTCACGCCCATGCCAGAAAGAGCCGAGGAAATCAAAAATGAATTCGCGAAAGGTTTCAAGGGCATCATTCCACGGCTGTGGCCAGACGTGAAAAGCATCAGTGGTCTTTGGTCAGGAAGCACAAACGAGGTGTACTACAAGGAAGCCAAAGCTCTGACTGGTCCAGATATCACTATCGTCAGCTTCACATACACCGCGTCGGAGGGCTTTATGGGCTCCAACATCGAGTGTACCCGCCCCGGACCGCCCAGGTACACTCTCATTCCGAACATTATGTTTTTCGAGTTCCTGCCGATTGTCAACGACCGCATTCCCGATCTGGACGAGATCAACCCCAAGGAGCTCCTCCTCAGTGAGCAATTGGAATTGAACAAAACGTACGAGGTCATCATCACCAACTCCTCCGGCTTCTATCGACTCCGGCTCGGGGATGTGGTCCGAGTGGTGGGCTTCTACCAGCAAGCTCCGCAGATCGAATTCCTCTTCAGGTGGGTAACTCAAACAGATCAAGCAGTCAGAGTCCGCACTGCCGTGGCGTTCACCAGTTTTGTTCTGATGCCAATGGAACCGTCCTGACGTGAAATGCTGTTGGAACATGTAAAATGAAATGCGTAAAGTTGCGAGCTGGATTGCCGTCGGACACCTGTCTAACGTGACCTTTCGTCATGTGACCAGGTCAGGCCAGAACCTGAACGTGAACGCAGTGAAAATCTCCGAGGAGGTGCTTTTCCGCGCCCTGCGCGAGGCGGCAGACCGCTGGTCGTCCACTCTCAAGGACTACACGGCGGCCGGCAGCCAGTTCACGCCCAGTCATCAGGGCCTGCTGGACCCGCACTATCTCCTCTTCCTGGAGCTGGACGGCCCGGTCCTGACTGAGGAGCAGACGGGACTGGTGAGTGGACCGGGCGCCGACTCTCCTGCAGTGGCGGTGCGCGTTTCAGCAGCATGTGACGTCAGTAACCGGCCGTCCAGGGCCAGCTTTCCAATCCCCCCCCCCCCTCGAAATAATGTTTGCTCTTAGATTAGTCGCCGAAACATGCAAAGCATGACCATTAACATCAAACTCGCTTTCTCGGACGACGGTTTTGCGGCAGCGTCGATACAATGTTCCCACGATGCGTCGTCTTTCAACTCATGTCTCAGGACTCGAAATCAGCTGCGCTGCAGACCACACCACCCACGTGCTGTGTAAGCACAGTCAGTGTTTGCAGGTGGATGATATCCTTCGGCAGCAGGACGAAGAATACGCCAGCTTCCGGAAACTGGAGAAGATCGCCAAAATCCGGGTGTACCAAGTGAAGCCGGGAGCCTTCTCGCGCTTCCGTGCGCACCTGCTGGCGACCACGGCCGTCACGGCCGGCCAGTTCAAGATGCCCAGAGTGCTGAAGAGCCGTGACAGGGTGGACTGGTTCCTCGAGAATGTCCGCAACTGAGCCCTGTGGTGCCGATCACTGCCTTAAATTATGAACTTCTAGTTAACCCAGTTGGTAGCTTGTGCTGAATGAGGCAGCTTTGGTATAATGCCGCTTAACTACATGCCTTCCTTCCCGCCTGTATCTTTACAGCTTTGTGAAATGTCAAGCCGTTGTGATCTCTAAACCGCTTGTGTCGTTGTGTTCACCGCGCCTCTGTGAACACTATGTGTTTTTCCCCGAAGTTGTCCTGAAAACTGGAGTTGAAATAACATTCGCCTATCCATAGCCAGTGTATCAGTTTTTCTGTCATGCCCTGAGCTTGTTAGAGCCCTCACCATGTCCATATCACAGATCGGCTTCTGGTGACGGGGTCGTTCGTTATTGTGTTTGGATCACCATAGCCATGTCCATATCACATATCATCTTCTGGTGACGAGGTTGTTTGTTATCGTGCTTGGATCATCATAGCAATAAGCCGACCTTATGTGATTGCTAACTTGGTCCAGCTGTTAAGACTATATTTAGAACACTGGGAAGCCGCATGGTTTCATTTGTGCGCTGAATCAACCAGAGCATGCAGCTCAGTAGAACTGATACGCCGGATGTGTTTGGCTTAACTGATAGCATGAACGCAATACAATTGAAGATCGAGAGTTCTGTTTAACGTTGTATTTCCATAATACGAGGTTATGTCTCTTCCGTTGCCGTCAGTGGCGAGTAAGACAGCTTTATCACTTTTTACACGATATTGCTGAAATGAGTATGAAGGCTAAACATGGTGCATTCATCTTCATGGATACATACCTCCACGGTTACATGGTTACAGTGATGGGGAAACGAACAACGGCGACTTTTACATGCTACCAGCACCTGCAAATCAAGCCGTGTGATTTGTAGCTCGTCTAACGATTTGCAAATGTGGCGAAAGGAAAGGACAGCCAAGTGAAGACTTTCCAATGCGCTACATTCCTTTTGGTGAAGATGTCTTGGTGAAGTCATGGTCCACGAAGCTAGCGTCTTATTTATATTATCATTCAGTATCCGGTTTGGGATTTGCCCACACGTCATTCACTCAATCTCACCGAGTTACCGGCAACAATAAGGCTCATTTTACTTGCAGCCGTGAAGAATATTAAACAAGTTAGCGCATTATTCATATTAGCATTTAGTATCCGGTTTCGATTTCGCCCGAACGTCCTCCATTCAATGTCAGTGAGTTATTGACAACAGTTAGGTCCGTCCTTCTTTCGAGGATGAGATCCACGAAATGTCATGACGGGATACGGACGTGAAATGATTTCACTTGACATACCGACAAAAACAGACACCACATCGAGAGCTTTAAGCGCCAAGACGTACTTTGACACCTACGGTGCCCGCCGCCCAGATAACCTGACTTCTCAGAGTCATCCTTTAATGTCGAAGTCAGGGTTAAACAAGCAGAAACTTCATGCCAACTTACATCATAACGATCAGTCATGCGTTTTACGCGGCAAAAGATAGTTCGTCACGCAGAATACTTTACATCACAGTAGCGTGATAGATACTATGTGTACTTCTCTCTTCCGACGAAAAAACCATGAGTGGCAGCAATAAATTCCTGGTTGTTTTAGAGAGATCGCGTTTCGGTACATTTGGTAGGACTGCAATTATTGAGCTATCAGCAGACGGTACACCACACTCTTCTGATTTTTTTCGTTTGTTTGTCGCTTAATCCTCCGGCAGCATACGTCGAATTAAATGTTTGAATGTTGTAACTGGAACATTACATTGTTTTTTTGCATTATATAGGATTATTAACGGACCATATGCTACCAGTACAACACGTCCATCCTTTGTAGGTTTTGAGTTTTGTTTTTCATTGCCCCCCTCCCACCCTCCCCCAACAATGAGTCACTCAGTGCTGGTGAGTTGGCTGTGAAGGGGCAATTTGTTGGCACGTAGGAGGATGGGTGGAGGATACTACGGCGCCCCGGCAAAAATGTGGACAATGAAACTGGAAGATCGTGGTTTACTGCGTTCCATGGAACTGTCATCTGACTATCACCTGCCCGTACAATGCACCTGTCCCATTTTGGTTTCGATTTTTTCGGTCGGCCCTGACAGCCTATCAGTCATTGCTGGAAGGTCGATTTGAGCGGTGATTTAAACAGGGAAGACTGGATACTTATTTCAAACAACTGATTTGGCGGGAGGGTGCAACCTTGCCGTGCCTATGTTGTTGGAGGGCAGTATCGTTGGGTAATGCAACTCTCGTATCGGCAAACATGACGCCTTTTCTTTCAATCACCCTGTGGAAGCGCAGAGCTAGCGACGGCCTGCGTACCCATAAATGTGCTGGTCATCATACAGTAGCTCGTAAAACATACTTGCAATTTAATTGAAAAATTTGAAACGGTACATGTCATAGTACCTGTATCTGGCTACCAGCTGCCATTACAACTCATTCGTCTTATTTTGGTTTCCATTTTTCGGTCGACCCCCAAAGTCCATTTTTCTATCCTCGTATCCCGACAGGAACGATGATTTGAACAGATACGGCATCCAATTTGAAATAGTTTTGGTAACGCTTGTCAGGTGCAACCTTGCCATAAGGACGTCACTATCGCATATAGATGGTGGCATATGTGCTTACAGTGTAAATCTCCCACGGGCAGACACTACATTTTGTGTTGAGATCACCCCTTGGCAGCGGAGAGCTAACGGCGGCTTGCCGGCGCATGGAGTAACCGCGAACAGTTCCGCTCGGATGGAGCGTTAGGTATTTCACCCGCCGCGGTGCGGAACTCGCGTGCCGCTTGCGGTCGGCGTTGTGCGCACAAATGGGGGGGGGGGGGGGGGCGCGAGCGTCGTCCCATGTGTGGTGCGAGCCCGGCTGTGCCGGATCCCGCCGGGGTGGTTGGTTCGGAGATCTGCCGCCAGGCGGCCGTCGCCTGGGCTGCCGGCTACGTCGGCACTGGAGACCCGGCTGACCGCTAGATGGCGGGACAGCCGTACCAGGCACCCTAGGTGTCGCAGCTGAAGGCTGCGCGTGCGCAAGGAAGCGGACGTTCGATCCCAGGCTAGTGTGATGTGCGACTAGATAAACGGTTTCTCGATGCACTCCGCACCGTGTCCTCTCTTGTGCAGGTCCTTGGGGACGAGCCAGAATGAAGGATATACATACATATATATATATATATATATATATATATATATATATATATATATATATATATATATATATATATATATGTGTATGTATGTTTGTGTGTGTGTGTGTATGTATGTGTGTGTGTGTGTATGTGTGTGTGTGTATGTGTGTGTGTGTGTGTGTGTGTGTGTGTGTGTGTGTGTGTGTGTGTGTGTGTGTGTGTGTGTGCGCGTGTGTGTGGTGTGTGTGTGTGTGTGTGTGTGTGTGTGTGGGTGTGTGTGTGTGTGTGTGTGTGTGTGTGTGTGTGTGTGTGTGTGTGTGTGTGTGTGTGTGTGTGTGTGTGTGTGTGTGTGTGTGTGTGTGTGTGTGTGTGTCAACAGTGATAGCATATTATAAAGGCTAAAATGTGCTTATCCACAGCAATCACATACGGAAGCCGCATTTTGCATTAGTTTTTTATGAAGCACACCACTGGTATGTAACAGAAGGAGTGCTATCACACCTGTCTTTTTATACTGAAATGCGAAATATGCCCATAATATGTCATTGTGTAGTGAGGTAAGTTGTCAACCCTTTGTCTATATGCTTACAAGAATGGACTGTCCATGTCTATCGCAACCATTTTACACTCACGCTCTCGACAAATCAAAACCCAATCGGCAAACTGCGTGCAGTTTACTTTAAAAAAAGATAACTACTCCTCCACGCATCATTTAAAACAATGGTTCTTAACCATTCCTTAGCAACGCTTAGGCCAATTCTTTGATGTTTGGAACGACTTTTCCCCGTTTGTTCCAGTAAACACGCATTGGTAGCCTGCTGTGCACCTGAGGTGCACTGCTCCAAGATGTGTGACTCTGAACAGAAAACTACCCTCCCGGACCCTGCTGCAATTCGAACGTGCGGCAAACGAAACGCCAGTCTTGGCAATGTCATGCTCAATCCAGTTAGACTGTATCATTGTTACTACTTGAGCTGGCTGTTAAGTGATTATGTGCATATGACGATGCATGCGTACTCGGTGCTCAATGAGCTCGCCCACGCTCATCCAGCCTTACCCTATTCGGACGACACTGACGACGATCGTACATTCGAAGATCCGCTATCATTTTGACTGAGAAATTATCTTCCCACCTGTGAATGCAATAGAGATGCAGTACAACATATTCGTCATTAGTGGTGATGGCAGTGCTTGCACAATATATATATATGTATATATATATATATATATATATATATATATATATATATATATATATATACATATGAATTGCAGCGTTTGCAGCAGCACAACTGAAATCGTTGTGCACTTCTGCACAAGTCTATAAAATTGTGGTGTGCACAACAGGGCTCAACAAAAGATAACGCCCAGGCTACCGGGTCTCTTCCAGATAGTCTTCGTAGGCGGTGGATGGGAAGCGCGGAGTTGACAAGGCCCGTCCCCTGCGAAAAATCGTGGAACGTGTTCCTACTCATTTTATCCTTCTGTTTACCCGCTTCAACTTGAACAAAAAACACGAGCCACCGGACGAGGCAATTATGTTCGCATTTTAAACTCCAAAAAGCTCAATGCGTCAGGCCCTAAATAACTGCAGCAAACGCAACTTTTTCATTACTTTCTGACCTTTCTCATACAATGGTTCAGTGTTTTTCTTTGTTAACACGCGTCCGGGTGGGCGGCTAGATACCCTTCGCTCGAGTGGAAGATCAATTTAACCCCCTCTTCCCCTGAGATCTCGGGTTTTAAGAAAGCTAGAGGTACCAAAGGTACAGAGTGTCTTGACCTGTACGTGAACTCACTTAGCCCTAGGTTTTAGCTTCCTAGGTCATGGACTTCAGGTCAAATAAGGTCAAACAAGGTTAAATTCCAATTCGGTCTTTTAAG